TTTTTTTTTTTTTTTTTTTTTTTTTTTTTTGATATTTTCTTTTTGTTTTTGTAAAAAACATTAAGCTTAAATGTATCATATAAATATTTATTTTGGCTGTTGTTTTTCGTCATTTCTTTTTTTCAGACGTAAAAATTTTTTTCAGACGTAAAAATAAATATTTGAACTGAACGATAAAACCAAAACAGCGACAAAGATAAATGGCTATTACAGTCGTCAAATAATGTTCAGCTGATCATTGTATTCGATGTGCAAATTTTCCTTCTTCATATATATCAGCAATAAAAAAAAATAAAACCAATTAAACGTGTAATGATAGAGGAAAAGTAAAGAATAGAGCAATTTTAATGAATTGCAAGGAAAAGAATAAAAATAAATAAAAATTTGTCTAAACTGAATACAATTTTTTTTTTCGTTTTCTGCAAGCTACAGTTTTCTCTGTTGGTCTAAAAAGAAGCACAACTTTAAATTTTTGTCTTATACGATTCCGGATGTTGGTCTGAATCAAAGATGCTTTCCTGAAGCTTAAAACATAATAAAAAAAACCAGTTCAATCGTTTTCAATTGTCTCTTATTTTTTTTAATGGTATAATTATAAGCAATATAAATTTTTTTAATAATATAAATTTCACAGTGCTATTCACTCATATTTCAAATGCCAACTAATAACCCATTCTGTTTAAATTCTTCTTTGCAGCTATCAATCAACTAATTGTATATAAGATATTTTAGCCAGTTTTGCACACATTTACAGATTATGGCAACAATTGCTAATAAGTGATTTTAAGCACACTAACTGATCGGTTTTTAAACTGGGGGAAAATAATATGGACAAAAAATGGTGATCAAAACATTTGTTGAGCAGCAGAAATTGAAGTCGGTTTTATTAACAGAAAGGGAAAAGAAACATTTAGGATTTCTCTAAATAAACAGTTTCGCTTAAAAGTAACTAATAAAATTAAGTTTTTGAATTTAAAATTACGGTACTCTTCCACTTTTAAAAAAAACTACCAACATTATTTTTAGTGTTTCTTTTTTTTTCCTTAGCTATAATATTAACTAAATGATAGTTTTATGTTGTAGCAGATAGACAACAACAGCAGCAATTGACTTTTAACGGATGAGTTATGTTGTAATTTTTTGATGTATTTTTTGTCGTATTTTTGCTTTCCTCTTTTTTTTTCTTTTTACCGATTACTGTCAATAATTTTAACATCAACTGTTCCTGCACTATTCTTTTCTTTTTTCTTTGCTATTTGAACTGCAGTCTATCATCGAAGCAACAATAAATTTTAGTATTGCTTATAAGCCAATTTCACTAGGTTCTTTTCTGGTTTATTTTTTACGGCTGAAAAACTGAAAAAAAGGAAAGAAGCAAAACAGAATCGATGTTTAAAAAAAAATTTTTTTTTCTTCTTTGCTTTTTGCTTTTGTTTTATTTCTCAACGATATTTAGCACCGAAATTCTGAACATACTTATTTTTTTTTTTTTTTTTTTTTTTTTTTTACAGCTAATTGCCAATTGTTTTAATAGATCGATGAAGTGTATCAAACGATTAAAATAAGCTTTTTTTTTCTGCTTGTCACCAATTGTTTTATTGCTTTATATTTTCAAAACAAACTGATATATACTTCATGTATCATTGTCACTGTTGTTGCTGCTGCTTTTTTTGGCAGTGGTAAAGCGATGAGAAAAAATTGAAACCAAATAAATCTTAAACATTGATCTTTAAGAATAAAAATTTTCCATACAGAAAATCTATGACTTACCAGGGAAGGATGAGGGGACAACAGGGGGAGATGCCGAGGGAACGCAGAAGAAAGCGCGAAAGGGGAGAGTTGCGAAAGGGGAGAGTTGAGAAAGGGGAGAGTTGCGAAAGGGGAGAGTCGCGAAAGGGGAGAGTCGCGAAGAGATGCAAATAAAAAGTATTGTGTATTTGATAGTTTGACCAATTGAAAAAAAAAATTTCTTTTGTTATTTTAATTAAGCAAAATAATAGCAGATCAAGCCCTTTATTTATTTAATCTATTAATTTTTAGCTTTCTTTTTTCTTTTTGTTATTTTTTGCTAACAAAAACTGTTGATATATTCGAACAAACAGAACCTTTGAACCTTAACAGGAAACAAGTTGTAAAAAATTATCAACAAATTTTTCTTTAAAAAA